TATAAAAAAATACGTGTTTCTTAGATTTTCGTGTTTTACAATATATTTCATGGAGAATCAAATCGGTTCCGGACAGTTGTGAAACTTCCCTTGTAAGTACGCTAAAGTTAGTTTTTGCTACATGTGATTCTTGTTTATAGAAATAATGCAGTTTGCAAAGTGTAGAATAAAATTACACGTAATTTGATAAGAGAGAAAGAGAAAATGTGCCAGTTTTGCTTCTATATCTTCATTTCTGAATTCTTAAATTTGGAATCTTGGAATCTAAAAACAATGTTAAATTCGTCATTAATACCTTCCTTGTTAAACTTTCGTTGTCGCTAGGAGTTTAATATAGTGAGCTTTGTGAGTAATTTCAAACTCCTGGGCCGGCAAAAAGCATTGAGCCTGTATCCTTGGATGTCGCAGACGCCTTACAAGATTTCTGCAGAATATGGCAAGGAGAACAAGGAGAACACCGGTAGCAGCGATCACGGCCATAATAATGAATATCTCAATGTTCTGCTTGCTGTAACTCTGTTCGACTAATTCAACGCAACGGAACCTCTCGCGATCGTCTACCAAGTTACCAGACATCACAATAATATTGGTGAGTTCATCCAAACTGGCGCATACTCTGTAATAACCCGGCAATGACACATCTACATCGATGACGGATGCAGAGCTACAATTAAGTCTCTGTCGATGTACTACAGAGATCTCGTTGAATACAAAGATTGATAATTGGCAGGTTGATGATGAATCAATGGTGTCTTTTGTTTTGGAAAGAATTACGTCGATGTGCAAATAGCTTTTATCATCAGATACATTTACGTGAACACCAGTGATCCGTGAATAGGAATCAAGAGATATTTGCGTAGACGTTGGAGAACGAGAATTCCCTTCTTTCACGTACTGATCTTCCGTCTCTATTCGTTGCTGAGTCTTTTCTAAAACGATGACGTCGCTACAACCTAGACCAAGGGATACATCATCATAAACGTTGGGTATCAATAAAACTACACAATAACGATATTTGTGATGCAATTGCAGATGTAGAGAGGCCGGTATGGTGACCGGTAAGATGCAGGGATCTCGCATCATCCGGGAATCACAATGTAGCGGGCTGGACTCTGTTTGAATCTCGCTATCGTCAATTGTTTCGTAGACGATAAGCGAATCGCAAGTGTAACGTTCAGCGCACTGCTCCACATGCCACAATAAATTGATACCGGTTGATTCATCGTAGCGAAATTCTTTGAGACTTAGTTGTGTACCTGCCGGATGTTCCCGGGTCATCATGGGTGATGTAGGCTCGCCGCAAAGTAGACTGCCCGTCGGTACTTGCATTAGGATACCATTCTCCAAGGCAGGTGGTGTCGCGCACACTGCCGATGACTTGTCCTCTTCTGTTAGGCTGGAGTTTGCCAGCCAGTTAGCAAACTCCAGCAAAGTACAATCGCAATTTAACGGATTGTCGGCGAGGGAGAGCTTTTTGAGGTGCAACTTTGATGTTAGCACATCGTTAGCTACAATTGTGATGTCATTGTCATCCAATCGTAGATCTTGTAAACTTTTCAATGGCACCACCAAATCGGCCGTCAACGCACGCAGAAAATTGTGCGTTAAATCTAAATACATTAATTTTTCTAAATGAGCCAAGGAAGCACTAGACACGGCGACGATACGATTGTTTGCCAGGTCCAGTCGTGTTAAAGTCGATAGATACTTAAACGAATGATCCTCTAACACATCAATCTGCAAATCAACATTTAATAATTTAAATAAAATAATTTTGAAGTAATTAATCCTTTTATATGATTTTAAACGAGATTTCTCTAACTTATAAACTTAACTTTTAAACGAATACACTCACTTGATTATGACTCAAACTGAGATAAGTAAGATTTCTGAGCCCCATGAGAGCTCCTTGCTGAACATTGATGAGACTGTTTTCTGAGACTGTAAGGAAATGTAGTTTAGGCATTTGTGGCAATAGATTGGGACCCATCGGACCCAGCAATAAATTGTTCGAAAGATCTAGTTCTTCCAAGCGCTTCAGACCTCTCAACGCGGACAAGGCGGAAACACTCAGGCGATTTCCATGCATTCTTAGTGAACGTAATGCCGGCAATGTTAAAAAAACCTGCGGCGACAATTGTGACAGAAGATTGTCACACAAGTCTAGATAAGTCAAATTTGACAGTCCCTGAAACAGAATATTTTATTACTCTTTATAATCAATCTCCTCAAAACCACTTTTCATAAATAATTCTCTTTTTTACAAAAATAATTCATATATATATATACAATATTTTTATTTCTTGTAATTAATTATACCTTGAATGAGTCTGCTTCTAATGTTTTTAATTTATTATGAGATAGATCCAATCGGTCCAGACCGACTAGATGTGATAGTGCGATTGTGGGAACTGAAGCTAGGAGATTGCTGGGCAGTCCTAGCGCTTGTAATGGTCGCGCTAGGGCTGTAAATGCGTTATCATGAACGTATCGCAACTCTCCGGTGGAGACAACTAATCCATGAAGTGCGACATCTTCGAGGAAATATGCCGGCAACTCAGAAATTCCTGTCACAGTCACATCCAGCAATGATATTGTGTCCGGTTGACTATGTTTCAAATGTTTGCTGATAGTCTAAGAGGAGCAATAGAGACATAAAAATAATTGTATTATTCTTTCTGTCGTTTATTTCAAAATTGATATCACTACATCTTTTGATTTTATATTTTTTCTATAGATTTATTAAAAAAGTATTGCATTGTAAATGCAATACTAATAAATATAACTGATAGCAGGACTCTCGTTGTGCTAGTATATAAAACAACAGATGCTATCGAGTAATATGAAATAAGAGAGATCAAGCAACCGAGAAAAAAGAAAAGGGATAAAAAGAGAGAAGGTACAATGGACTCTTGAATAATAATATTGTATACAACTTGTATTTCATTGGCAGTCTATACTGCCCACACTTTCTTGGCTGTTATTTAAAGAGTAAATATATAAGTCGATCTTGATTGTGTTGCGAAGCACATATACATATTAGAGATTGAGTTTTGACGACTCATTTTTTTGTATTTTTTTTTTATTTTTCCCGAGGAAAATTTATAAGTCTTAACAATTATTTTGAAATTAATTAATTTCGCCAGTTAGGATAAATTGTACTATTATATATATCAATATATATATTGATATATGATGGCCTGTTGTCAAAATTAATTACCTGCAGTGCCGTTCTATCACCGGCACATCTGAGCGTATGTGGAAAGTCACAAGAACACTCCACGCCTGCTTTTGTGATATTTGGACATTCCCACACAGTGTCAGAGAAAGATGACGACGGCGACGGCGACGGCGATGGTGGTGCGTGGGATAGATTTTTCGGGATGCCATTGTCTTGCATTGTCATAGTCGCCGACGGCAACAATGCATTTTCTTCGGTGGTCGTCGTCTTTATGAATGTAGCCGTCGATGTTGTCATCAATGTAATCGACTCCATTGTCGTTGTGACATTGTCCTCTGTTGCGTCGAGACATGACGCTGTCATTATCAATGTTAAGACGAGTAGGTCTTGAAATAATTTCGGCATTCTGAAAAGAGATGTTTGACAGGTATATTGCGTTTATGATTGTTTAGCATACAGAAAAAGATTTCTTTTTCTGGCAATAAGTAATACTGCAAAATAAAATATTTCGATTTTGTTTTTAGTTAATGCACGCAAATTCATTCTTAAAACGTCGGTCACTAACCACGGTTTAGAAATGACTTAAGTTCCAAATTTTTCGAGGATAAATGATAAAATTCTACAATATCAATGAAAAGCATATTTAAATTCAATGTCTCACGTTTATTATAACGAGTTATGGCTTATCACGAGAAGTGACCTGGAAAAGCTGTTAGAACTCGAAAGAGAATTGCAGGAAAGCGCACCGTTAAAAAAAAGAGCTGCTTTAAATTCAGCGTTATCTATATATTTGAGGCATGTGTTCAAATTAATTTTATAAAAACACCTCGTGTATGTGTATATAATAAAAAAATTTAATTATTTTATTAATTTAACTATGATATAAATATAATACACGATATGCTATTAATTCTTTCTGATGAAATCATTGATCATTTAAATTAATATTTGTATAGATATCGTAATATTGTAAGAAGACTCCTCATGTGTTACGATCAAATGATCCAGACGCAGAAACGGGAATTAATTAAGAAGATGTTAGATTGTGCCATCGGGCGTATGCTAGAATACAAAAAGGAAATTGTGGCGCTGGATTACACAGATTATCAGTACGTTTTTTATTTCATTCATCAATTTATATGTTCTAATTTATAAAGAAATATTGTCTGCACAGATGGCCTGACGATATTTTGAATCAAATGAAATTCACGCCGGATGACATCGAGCTATTTGCATCAGTGTCTGGTCGAGAACGTATAGAGGAACGCAGAAAGTTTATTCAAGCGTTGGTGGAGAGTGCTCACAAAGGTTTGCAATCAATTCATCGTTTTTTTTAATTTTAATAAGATCTAATAAAATTTTATTAAAATGTTGAAGTAATTAATACAACAATTTACATTAAAAAATTTAATTTAAAAGTTTAAATACATTTTTGAAATTTAACCATCTAGTACCACACATGAGAGAACGCCGTCTCTCACAGATACAGATTGAGAGTACACCCGAGGTGGAAGATGAGACGTTGAAGAAACGTGCTGCTCGACGAAGAATGCGCATCGCACCGCCATCGAAAGTAGAGTTAATCCACGAATCGCCATTGGAAAAAGCTGCCCGAGAAGCAAAGCTTGCTGCTGAAAAAACTATGCGTAACGCAATGTTATTGATACAGAGTCATGAGAGAGCCAGAAAGGGACGCATCTACGGTGCAGATGGTATATTCGCAAAAAAAAATAAATAATTTCATTAGAATAAAATTTTTCAAGTGGCACATTCTCATATGAAAGAAAATGTTATTGAGTATGATATATCTATTATAATATTTATTATTACGTTTGCCTATTAATTATTGATACTAATTTCTCAGTGAAACATATATATGATTACAACAAAAAAGTGAGATCCGGAGAGATAATACCGAAAAAAATAGATCACGTCAGATATATCAAGTCAGCAGTGACGATACAACGTGCATGGCGGCGTTATGCCGCTAAAAAAGCTATAAAAAAACGAATTGCACGTCTCGAAGAAGCTTTGGGTATGACGATACCAAGCTGGCGATGCAATAAGACAATCGCAAAGGACGATGACAACTTTCAGCGACGACGTGCTCTGATGCCCATGTTCGATGCACGCACGAAGAAGGCAATCAGTGATGAACGTACAAAGGTAAATTTATCAAAGATTTCACAGAATTCGTAATTTACATTGCATTGTATACAAGAGAAAGATAATAAGTTAAAAAACAAAAAATAATAAGTGTATAAGATTAAAAAATAATTAATTCCCCAAAGCTTCTGAAAATAAGAGGTCCGGGATTAATGGAGGATATCACTGACGAAATTCATGAGTGGTTCGTCATTTGGTACAACGCATTAGGACATTACGACGTGTTTCCAGCTGCGGATTTGGGTGGCAGTGTACTGATCGTAACCGGGCAGACCTTGACGCCAGAGGAATATTTAATGGAAAAATTAGAAAAAGAGAAAAAAGCCAAGGAAAGAATGGGATCAGTTCCCAAAGCTGAACCTATCAAGAGCAAAGTTGCTGGTTGGAAAATGCCGCAAACAGATACTTTGTCCTGCTTGGAGGAAGCAAACAGCGATCTCATTCGAAACTGGAGCTTTCGTGACGAAAAATATTTGGAACAAGAATATTTGGATCTAATTACTGAGAAACTTTGTTATGAGTTGCAGCTTGAAATGAGAGAGATAGTAGATGAATTGATGAGGGCCGAACTGGAATTACTAAACAAGGCATTGTTGAAGGATCACAAACATGACAAGAAGAAATTCACGATTCCAACAACGGATAAAAGTAATCGATACAACTTAATAATTAAAACTTTTGCACTTATTATTTAAACAAAAATTTGAATTTTGATTAATTATTATGACAGAAAGGATCGACAGAATTAAAACGAAGAAGAAAGACATTTTGGAGGATGTGGCCATCGAGGATCTCTTTAGCGAGCTTCTACAAGCTGAAATTATTAGGAATTACCAAATTATTTTTTTACGCGATTGGTTTGGCGATCTGTCCTATCAAAATTACGAGGCACGTCGCGAGCTCCGGGATCACAAGCATCGACTCGGAGAAGTAAAGCAGCTCGTCTTAGAGTACTGCATATTGCCTTTAATTTCCAAGGAGACACATCAACTTGCACCGCTCGTGCGTTCTGTGTGCATCTACGGATTACCAGGAGCCGGAAAGACCTCGCTTGTGAATGCCATCTGCTCAGAGGTGATATTTATCTCGATTATGTATCTTCCCATGTTAACTATTATGTCAAAAGATATTCAAAATATGTTATATGCATATATAGTACGACATACAATAGTTTTCAATTCTTTGTAATACAATATTATGATACCATAAATTAGACTGTATTAATATTTCCCTCGCGTCTATTTATGATCTCTTTGAATTTTCTTAGATCGGCGCGTTACTTTTCGACGTATCAGCACCTGTTTTAGCTAATAAATATATAGGCAAGGAAAAGCAACAGAGACTCATCAATATCATTTCTAAAGTGGCCCGTTTTTACGCACCTTCCGTCATATTTCTCGATGCTGGCGAAAAACCCTGGCTGAAAAATGTTCCACCAGAGGAAAGGTATCTTCAACCCAAGCGATTCGCCAACTATTTTGTTAAACTAATGAAAGACATTAAACCAGGTGACCAGGTAAAGCTACAAAGAAATTGGCAAATAATTCTCTTCCACTCTCTTAGTAATTCTTTTTATTCTGTCGTGTGATTTACTTTTTATTAATTATCTGCGATAACGCAACTGCTCTGTCATTATTGTCTCAGCTTGCGCTTTGCGCTATAATGTTTAAAGATCTTTAGACATTAGAAAAAAAAAATATATTATATATACATATATATATCGTGAGAACGCGGAGTGACACGCCTAAATTGGAGGACTATATCAAAGCATATACGCAATCGAGCAACGCCCACTTTGTAAAATTCTTGTTATTCCTGTTTGAGATCTTTCTTCAATATGAATGAATCGCCGCCACCTCGGACGAGTCACATATACTGAGCTATCTCTTTCTCTTTCTCTTGTGCCGTTCAAATCTTTCATCTCGGTCGCTCGAGGTTGCTCATCAATGAAACACCTCCTACCTGTATATATGGTTGCCGTATGAGGACGTAGGTGGCAGCGAGTTAACGTAGGATTTAGAGTGTTAAAAATTCCGGACAGATACTGTTACTCACTGGCGTAATATTATAGAAGGTAGATTGATACTTGAAAAGTAGATATTTTATCCCGACTTTCAATTTGTGTAAGATTGAATTAAAATATAAAAATTATGAAATTTATTAAAACATTATACAAATGAAAAAATATCCAACATACATAAATAAAATCTGATTTTCGTTATGTTAATTATTAATATGACAAATTCATTTTTAACAGATATTATTTCTCTCGCTGTCTGAAGAACCTCATAAGGCAATAGCCGCTTTCATCAAGTTCCACGATAAATTTATAAGGATACCCACTACCGATTACAACACACTTTACATGTACTATAAGAATCTATTAATGAAATATCACGGCGTTGATCGCAATATCGATGTCTCCTGTTTGGCCAAAATGTCTATTGGGATTCCTCTGAATTTTATCCGGCAAACCGTGGAGAAGGTGCTGTCGCTACGTCGAAGAATTACTCTTAAATCCAATCCATTGAATCCGATGGAAATTATGAATGAGATATTGATGTATCAACATCCTACGACGGGAATGGTGGAGAATCTTGATAAATTTGAAAGAAGCACCCCCCTTGGCAAAAAAAGAGCCAGTGTTTCGTAAAAAGAAAATTCGCGAAAAGAAGAATTTATTTATTTATTTTTGGTCATATATATAAATATATGTATCGCAGAAGTTTCGCTCTTGTACAAAAAATGTATTTATATTGCAAATATTTGCATTCTTTCGCATTGCGTTTAACAGCCCATAAGGATATAAAATATAAAAAGTATGTCTATTTTAGAGAAAGAAAATAAACATACTTAAATAAAAATATTCTTGTATGCACGCAGGAAAGACAGATGTATATCCTACGACGGAGATGGTGGATTATATTATAGTTAGAGAACGCTAAAGAGAGAGTACGTACCTCTAATATATAATATGTCAGTCTCCTCGAGCGTGTTGCCAACCCTTGCACCCTCCCACACCTGACCTCGGTTTTAAAGCGGAGGAGGAAGCCAGTAGCACCCACGCCGGTCAAGTATTTGCGGCGAGTGCATCGTGCTATATTAATGAAGAATAATCTTCAAGGATCCCCTTAGACGTTTTCTGTCACCATATCCCTTCTTCAAGAGTTCGCGAGTTCTTCCTTATGTCTTACTAACCGTCACGTTTGGCAGTATTTCGACTTTTCAGTAGACCTTATTATCCCTCGCGATATCGCCGCATAATTGTTGTACATCAAGTCTTGCCGAGGAATCGCTTCTTATAGCACAAAGTTGACAATCTCAGCATTCAACGATGATGGTTGAAATGCGTTCACCAGGATATACACTGTCACACATATACATAACGCATAATTCGTTGGACGTTTTGTCGAATCATATGGAAAATTGGTACCGCATGTTCGAAGGAAACATGAGCGCGCGCGAACAATAATAGTAAGTAGGACGATCGTACGATGTGTGCTTCGAAGCACTATGCATCAAGAGCATGCTCGGCAACCGCATCGAGAGACGAGAAACCAGAGAAACCGTCGCGTCGCCTCCACCGTCCACACGGTGGGGACTCTCCCGGTCCATGTCGGTCCGTCCGTCTCTGTGTCTCTTGGTTTCCACATAGCATAGCCATGTATGGAACACAGGACGACGTTCTCTCTCCCGGCTCTTACGCCCACTTGCCATAGTCGCGCTTTCCGTACTGACTCTGACTCCACCGGACCTGGAGCAGGTATCGTCACGATTGACGCCAACGAAAAGAACGAGAATGACAACGTCGACGATATCGTGTGAATCACTGGAAAAAGAAGAGCGAATAGAAAAAGCAAATAGAGGATCCGATGTATTTTTCGAAATATAAACATTTTAAAAATCTTCATCTTTGAAATATCAAAAACTCTACCTCACATTTCAAGAATATTAAAGAAAAACCAATTGATTTATCAAATAAGGAGAAAATTAAGAAAATCTTAATCTTTTTAATTCGTCTAATAAGGAAACAACTTTGTATTAATGCATGCACTGTATAAAAAGTAGCACCAAATGATTTTTGCATGTGTTGTTTTCGTATATATGAGAACTCGAGAGAAGATGAAGCAAAGAAGCCGGCGAGAGAGAGAGAGAGAGAGAGAGAGAGAGAGAGAAGGTGGGATAGTAGGGGACTCCGAAGGTCTTCAGGATCCTCACGAAATGCCTTTTGATACTGGAAATCTGTTTGCCATCGTCGTTACGAAATCACGTAAAACCGGGCCTCTACGCCCACGCTGCAACAAGAGACTGGCACAGTCGCGGTGAAAGAAAGTTCAACTTCTTTAACAAGCTCGAGATGTTTATAATACACCAGAAATCGAATATCGTATTTAAAAATTAGCGTAAAAATTATTTATTGCAAAATTATTCTCGTAATTTTATAAGATTAATTGACTCTCTAATGAAAATGACGAAAGTTCCTTACATAGCAGTAGAAAAATAACTTGTGATAGCACAACCGACAGTGATGAAATTTCATTGCATAAAACGCCGAAAAAAAAATGATTCTGATATAAGGAGAATATCTAGTAGATATTTTAAAAAATTGATATCCAAATCAGATCACATTTTATACTATTATTATAAATTAGTATTACTTTATTTTTAATATTGTGTTCTAATAAAAAAACAAGATTAATTTGATTAATTAGATAATAAATGTAATTAATTTTAAAGAAATATTAATCGATACACGCGCGCGCGCGCGCAAAAGATCGAAGTGAAGATGATAACTATAATAAAGTCGTTTTGCAATCAATTAATTGATCCTACGATTATAAAGTCCATTACTAATACTTAATCGTGAACAGCGTGTTTCAAGATCGCGACGGAAAGTCGTATAATACCATGAAAGATGACGATCGTTTCGTCGATATACTATCCAAGGGTTGCTTGTGTACTTGCATAAAAAGTTGCATTCTCTCAACCAGCTGCATTGAAAGTTGATTGACTTTTGTGTTTTACAATTTAACTTGCTCACGACGCAATTATACTAATTATAGTAAAATATAAGAAGCATGAGAGTGCATAATATCATTAAAGTTTATACAAAGTTTTCATAAAAAATTCGATTGGGTCAAGGAATTTTTAAGTCAAATTATGATATATATATATATATAAACATTTTTGTATAATTATATATTTTATTATATTATTTTTTTTTTATCATGTATTGTATCAAATTATTTATAAAAAAATATTTTTTATTTATTTATACATATAATAATAATGAAGATAAAAAATTTATTATGTGATATCATGACATCGAATATTCCGAATGTGAATGATCGCACGATTATTCAAAATAATGATTAACAAATTTATTTATTTCATTTCTAACTTACTTCTATTGTGAAAAAGACACCGATACTTTATAAGATCAATCGGAAATTCTTTCATTTTCAATCATTAAATTATTTAAAAGTCTCTTCCATTATATCGATATAATCCTTAACATCGTTCATATACCTCCGTAAAAATTTGTGATCTCTTTTTACATTTTTAATTAAATTTTTAACGTCTGTTTCCCTGTAAAAAAAACCGAACAAAATAATATCGAATTTTCAAATAATTATTCAAGCTACCTAAACTTACTTTATTCTACCTAGTATACAATAACAGTTGATATCATTTGGAGTGAGTTTATCAAATTGTTTAATTTTAATCGTAACTTGTAGTATAATGTCCAACCGTTTGCTTCGAGATGTAAATGAAATTCTGAAATAAATAGATTATCATAATTTCGTCAAATCGATGTACATGTATGTATTTTAAATAATAATATTATGTATAATGTTAATGTAATAGTATGATATAATTTGATGTAAATTATTACTCGTCATTAGTAATCTCCATTAAATTTAAATCATCCAAACGCCTCAAATCAAACTTGAAATCCATCGTTAGTTTGACATCTTTTGAAATAAAATTTAACATTGGAAGGATGTCCTGATGAGTTCTATACGAACTTGTAAGTAATTCCACGTTTAGTTTCTCCAGAATTAATCTGTGAACTATCTTTGAAAATATTCCTGAATCGTCTATCAAAAAATTAAATTAATTAAAATATCGTAACTTTATTTTTTAACTGATATTTGTATAATTACCTGCAAGGCGGGAAATAATCTTGATTTCTTTAATCAAATTTTTCTCGGAGTCATTAAAATCATATGATAAAAATGTTGCTATCAATAATGAATTTGCTATGAAACCAAAAACGATCATTTTCCTGTTAATATTATTATAATATATGTTCCAAATAACGTCGTCCCTACAACAAAATAACATTAGGTCTCTTTAATTCCTTTTTGATAATAAAATATACTAAAAATATATATGTACCCTGCGGCATACATTTCTAATTTTTGCAATAATGTTACAAATGGATCTTCGTTTTTAACGTCTTCGTTAATCGTACTAACATCATGTGTTGTTACGAGTCCTGTTGCACATTTGTCTTTCTGTCTCATATTTTGCTGTTTCACTTCATCATTTAAATTTATTCTATGTTTTTCGGGATTTATTTGATTTTCCATTACTACTCCTGTGCCTTCGAGATAATCACTACGTTTTTTTGTTTCCTGTAACAGTACAAGATTTTAAAATCATTTCACATCATTAATTATCAAAAAAATTAAAGTAGCTGGAGATCAAATAGAAGATCAAAACGAAAAAGAATATATTTGAAAGAAACTAAAGAAAGATGCAAAGTTGCAGAATAATATTAAAAAGCAAGGATGATATTCAGATTTTACCAGCTACTTCAATTTCTTTGATAATTAGTGATGTGGAATGATTAAGATCTTGTACTATTACAATTTTCCCATCCTTAGCATTCATTGATAGTACGTTTTTTTCATTAATATTCTTCGTCGAATGATAATTTGAATTATTAAGTTGATTGTCATTAATAATTGTCTTTATTATCACTTGGCAATCAATTTCCTGATTATTTTCAGTTTTATTCATTACAGTATTTTCGTGGCGATTTTCTGTTTGATTGTTCTCAGTATTTATTGATTCCTCTTTTTCTCTTAAAATTGTGAAATAATCATTTGCGGCATTTTCCTTCGAATTTGTTGAACAGTTGGATTCTGTTACATTATTTACTATTAATTGGTTAGAAGTATTATTTACTGGTATATCAGTGATAGTCGATAACCGAAATTCATGTTGAATTTCGTGGAAAGAGCTTTCTTCTTCGCTGTCTAAATGTACGAACGATGGTGGTTTAATTGATTGTAGCTCTTCGAAACTATCTTCCAGATGTGGCAAACTTTTTCTTGAAAAACTATATTTACTAATCTCGTCTAGACTATTCCTAAGATTTGAGTCAGATATCTGTGTATGTTCTATTGTTTCCTTTACAGAATCATTATGTTCTTGTTCAATATCATTTAAATCATTTACATAATTAGCGCCAGTACTAGAAAATGAATGTACATCACTTGAAGATACTTGAGAAAACTGAATTTCCATAAAAGAATTGCGGATTCGTTTTGAATATGATTTTTTATTATCATCAGACATTCTTTTTTTACCGCTGACATTTTCTAAGTATGTACTTAATGAATTATTCAGTGGAGATTGAGTAATAGAAATGTTAAACGATTCATCGTGTCTAATATTTTCTGCTTCTACAATTTCCCTTGGAATTGTAAAATTTTCTTTTATTACATCTTCCCTTAATTTTGTTAGATTATTATTTGTCATTAAATGTTGGAACTCATCATTTTTAGAAATTATTAAATTCTCTGTTTCATTTACTTTCGCATTTTGTGTAAAATGTAATGTTGATGGTACTGCAGCAGTTATTTCCATTGATATATCTTGAATGGTTTCACTTGCAACTACATCAGTTTGGCGTGATACTCTCGCGGAATTTTCAGCTGGTATTGAGATTGTTTTTGAAAATGTTTGAGGAAATGATATGGACTGTGTAGTGTGAGTAGTATCAGTAGTATTAAATGTTATCTCATGCAAAGAAGTTGGGACGACTTTGGTAAATTCCATAGATTTACATAACAATTTGGTTCCTTCATTAAAGCATATTGAATCATTCCTATCTTTTTCTTCATGTGCATTCTCTTTAGATATTGATTTACAAATTGGTTGAGTAATTTCTTTTCTTGATACCGCTGCAGTCATTTCTATGGATATGTCAGGGAAGAATATAGTTTTATCATTTTTTGATATTAATTCATCAATTTTTAAATTCGCTTTATCAATGTTTAAAGGTGCTACATTTATTGACTTTGTTATTTCCATTGATGCATCATTGAAAAATTTAGTTTTATTGTTTTTTTCAATTTCACATATACTTTTGTTTGAGTGAGCAACGTGTGCAGCATGAAACATTTTCTCTTGACACGAGGAAATTGGGAGAGCTTCAGTAAACTCCATAGACTTGCATAACGTTAATGTTTTTTCATTAAAACAGTCCGATCTATTTATATCTCTTTTACTACCTATATTTTCTTCAGACGATTTACAAATAATTCTATCAATAATTTCTTGTTCGTTTCTTGTCGACATTGTCTTGGTCATTTCCATGGATAGATCATGGAAAAAAATAGTTCTATCATCTATAGATACTGGTTTATCCACACTAATATTCTCCTTATTGCAAACATTTGAAAATATGGTACCTAGAGGTTTTGTCATTTCCATCAGTACATCATTGAAAATCTCAGTTTTATCAGTTTGATCCTTTGTCAGAGTTTTTTCTTTAACTGTAATTTCATTATTGGTCTTATTTTCATTCATTTTAGATGGTGCTATAATCATTTCCATTGAAGTATCGAAAATTGTATTATTTGTATGACATATATCAGTATCTGTGGCATCTGTAACAAAAATATAAATAATTAAAAAATAAATACTACTATATTGTAATCGTATATCAATGGAATGTAAATGGTTGTATTACTGATGTTGATACCATTGAGTCATTAGCATATCTCACATCTGGTATATATTCAGAAATGTCTCTAGAAACAACGTTAGATTATAAATTTGTTGGAAATATTGTGTTATGAGTATTTGTAGCATTCCATTTCATATGTTCATAGTTTTGTAATATTGTCGGAATTTGTTCAAAAATTCCTAAATTAGAAGCAACAGATTCCACAAATATTGGTACAGCCTCGGTAATGTTTATTGGTACATTATTACAATTAATAGTACATTCCATTGATACACGATTATAATTAGTATTTGTTTTTGAATTATTTATGTTTTCGTTACATTCTTGTTTCTGTTCTTCAATGTGTAAATGTGAAGATACTAAAGATGTAGATATTGGTGCTGTTAGCTCCATAGAGAAATCTTGAACATGTGTTTTGTCTAATTCAGAGTCTACATTACTAGAATAGAACTCGGAAGGATATTTCTTGGCAACATTATCTTCACAGTCTCCCTCATCAGAATCTCTATATATCATAATATTGCTTGACTTTATACTTTTAGATGTATCTGTTATTATAATTTGTCCAAATTGAGATTCTTTATCAGACAATTGCATATATTCTGAATCCAAATTACTTGATATCCAATCATTAGATACACAAGATTTATTTCGTACTGTAGTAAAACCTAAATTACAGTTTGTATCATTATTTTCTTTATTGGCTCTTGCGGTAGATCCTTGCGGTAGTTGATTATCAACTAAATAGGTACCTATTAAAATACATAATATGTATCATATGGCTCAAATAATTAAAATAAAAGAAAATATATTAAGAAGAGCTACGAGCCAAAATAACAAATTTAATGTACACAATAAGATACAAATAACATTAAATATATTAGTTTAAGGTAGACATATTCTTTTTATATTTATTTTTAATTTTTTATTTATTTGTATCTTATTATGTACATTAAATGTTATTTTGGCTCGTAGTCCTCCTTAACATATTTTCTTTTATTTTAAATAGGTATTGTTTGGACAGCATAAACTATTTTCAGAACGAATATGTATACAGTCATTATTATAGAGGCATGTAATATATTTTCTATCATTTCACCTTCAGCATTTTGATCAATTACAAAAGATCCTTTTAAAGTAGAATCCTGTTCTTCATATGTATTATCCCACACAGTACCTTGTTCAGTAGAATGACAAAATTCTCTGCACAGAATAAATTAAGGGTTTGAGCAACAAATTGTATAACCAAACATTACAAAACTAAGTACTTACTTGACATGTTTTTTCTCTGCAAAACTAACACGTCTCTTGTTTTTTGACAAAGTTGGACTGTCTTCATTAGACGAAGAATCAAAATTTACATTTTGCAACGGTTGCCGTGGTTTACATGGTTTAAGAATCTACCAACATGATTCTTATTAAGAATTATTCATTTTTAATAAAAATAACATACATTGTTAAAATAGATAGCTTTTTAATTTAAAAAATTAGCTAGAAAAGTTATAAGTTATTTGAACAGAAATGTAGTTACCGATGACCGTCTAGATTCACTTCTTCTGTTTTCAGGTTTCGATGGAATCCTGTAACACGAATAAAAATATTACTTTTTTTTGTAAAATTCTCTTTGTATCACAGAATCTTAATTTTACGTATAAAACAAAAAGAATATTTTTAATACATACATTTTATTTACGTATATATTACACACTTGTATACACTGTATAGCTGTGTAAGCTGAAAGTAGCTGAGAACTGAGAGCAGCTGAGAGAAAAGAAAATCCGTTGAATTTGATTTCTCCTTGACTCCCTCCTGAAAACCACCATATTTGTTTCGTAAACGCATTTAAATTAAGCAAAATAAAATCAAATTTCTATGTTACAAAAATTACGGATTGAAAATAAAAAATTATAGATTTTCCACACGTTCATTAAAATATTCTATACTTTTTCAATCATCATTCGATTCGTATTAAAGCCTACTTTACAATTGCGTAAGCGTAGTTATAACTGTTGTAAGAGTGGTAATTGTAAAAATTCATCAATCACAGTCGGATATTCTTCTCGTATAAACCCGATCTACAATTGCGTAAACGTAGTTGCAAATGGTTGTGAAATGTTGTAAAGCGAAGTTTTAACCTGCCATTCCCGATTGTAAAGCGTGTTGTAAAAGATGGTTCAACTTTATCTTTGAAGGCCCGTCTACAATACACGGAGTAAGACGTAAGAGTAAGAAATTGACCAATCACAGTCGATTATTCTTCTCACATTCGACTGTGATTGGTCAATTTCTTACTCTTACTTCTTTCACCGTGTATTGTAGACGGGCCTTTACGCTTACGCAAGTTACGCCGCATGTGCCGGCACCCTAAGTCCGGATCTACAATAGGGTTTTAAGCCTTAAGCCGTAAGAAATTGACCAATTAGTCCGGATCTACAATAGGTGTTTTATTCCTTATGCCGTAAGAAACTGACCAATTACAGTCGAATCCGAGAAGAATAAGCGACTGTGATTTGCCCATTTCTTATGGCTTACACCTATTGTAGATCCGGGGTAAAAGCCCGTCTACAATACACGCAGTAAGAAGTAAGAGTAAGAAATTAACCAATCACAGTCGATTATTCTTCTCACATTCGACTGTGATTGGTCAATTTCTTACTCTTACTTCTTACTCCGTGTATTGTAGACGACGCCTTACGCAATAATTATAGATCGGGCTTAAGGATGCCGTCACATACGGCGTAACTTGCGTAAGCGTAACTTGCGCCGACCAATCATATCATTTCACTTGACATCAGTTTCTGTCTAGTCACTTTATGCTTTTTACGCTATTTTGTTGTTACGCCGAAACATGATAGAACCACTATGCGTTGAATCTAATTTCTGGCTCATTTTAGCTTATTCTGTCTGAAAAAATGCACAAGGGTTTCGATTTTGCAACAGTACAATTATAAAAGTTGTACGCCCTTTTGCATCGCGTGAAAAGTCGAATCGAAACCCATGTGGAACAGTACAATTATAGACCTCATTTTGCCTCTGTGACAGATTTCCTAACCTCAATAGTTATCAACTTTAACGATTAATATCTCAGATCACAAGGCAGAACGACGTTTTTTTTGCCAGATTCTTTCGTTTCATGCAAAAACGCGTCGAATAAGCCTAAGAGTGGTTTCACAAAATGTTCCGATTTTAATAATTTATTCGATCATCCGCTCATATATACGCGATGGAAAGGTACCGGTTCCCCATGAGGCGTACTTTTCGAGATGCGTAGGTTACGAAAACCAATCGTAAATTCATTTAGCATTTCTTTTAGAGTGTACAACAGAAATTCTAATCAGCAATTGGTTGCATTAGTTACGCATTTCTCTAATCTTCCGCGAAATACGCTCAATGTGAATGCCGGCTTTCAGAATGGGATATTCTAATAAATAAAAAATAACGTATTCTAGTAAATAAAAAATAACGTTTTATAGTAAATTACTAGAAAACGCAGGTTACGCTTACGCAGGTTACGCCGCATGTGACGGCACCCTTAGGGTGGAGTCCCATGAAGCGTGTTTGCCTCGTATCGCGTAACCGCGTAACCAATCAATAATCAGTAAAACGCGAAACCACAACAGCGGATCGCTTCTGATTGGTTACGCGGTTACGCGATACGCGGTAAATACACCTCATGGGACTCCAGCCTTAGTTTACATTGGCCGCGTTCAGCAGACTCAACTGTTGTGGAGCGGATCCGTGAGCGCTCGCTGCTTTGGATGATCTAGAAGAATACACCAATAGCAGCGAGCGCTCACGGATCTGCTCCACAACAGTTGAGTCTGCTGAACGCGACCATTGTGCAATCAGTGCAATTGGTCGCGTTCAGCCTTAGAACATATACTACTGGAAGCGGAATAGGGCGCTGAACATGAAGCCAACATCTGTGTGAGAGAGAAAGGTATAGAGTCCCAAATGTTTGCAATGCGCATGTGTCAGTACCATCGTCTGTGAACACCAAAGCATAAAGCTGGAAACACAATAGACACAGGCAATAAGCACAGGCAACAGGGAATAACGAGCCGTCCAATCAGAGCTTAGTGGTATAAGTTCGATATTATATCCCAGAGCTCTGATTGGGCGGCACGTTATTCCGTGTTGCCTGTGTCTATTGCCTGTGTCTATTGTGTTCCCAGCTTAAGCGTTTAGGTAAGGAATAGAAAACGTTCTAGTGTAAGATAAAAATGGCGTCCCATGTTCCCATAATTCCAATAGTACAATTCTTTTCCTTTCGATACGAGAATCGAGTGTAAAACGGTAAGTATATGGACAAGACTATTCTTGACCTAAAAGACTTTAGAAAGTGTATATTTTAATACATGGCATTAAAAATGCAGACATACAAGTGAAAACCGTCACAATTTATTAGTTAAAAATTTCTAACTATTGAGTATTAAATTTGTAAGGTTATAAAATCTTATGCTATATATATATAAAATGCATAATAATTAATAATATAATACTAAATGTTTTAACAAGCAATAATTTCTGTTTATTCATTTATAACATAAATAGTAATATATATATATTTTTATATATGTATGTGTATATATATGTTATATTTGAGCTCTTTTCATGTCATGCATGACGATACGCAGTAAGTTTGGGGAGGGCACCGATTGCACACATCGCATATTGCACACATGTATCGCTGATTGGCCAATTTAAAAATAAAATAATCTCATTGGCAAAACACTAAAAAATTACTAGGCACCAGTTGATATGAGTGGTGTGTACAATCAGAACTGTAGGCAAACGGGATCCTCACAACAAAAAAACCGGATCACGGTGCCTTACTGTCGCGAAAGGGTTTCACGTGCGTTCGTGCTTGCTAGCAGCGTGATCCGCGAACGACCAATTAGGACCTGTTTTCGGCTGTGGGTGCGATCCCTACAATCGCGTCATGATTGTTACACCGGTACCCGTCGCTTTATCATCTCGCGACCATGATAATATTCACTTCGGAATCGTTTCTCTACGTAGCCGTGTCTTTCGAGCCGATCGCGACTCAAGAGATATTCTTTTTAAGCGTTGTCGCGAGTTTCCGTACCAGACTTCTTAAATATATGGGCAACAGCCCTTAAATATCTGGGCAACAGCCCTTAACGTGTTCATTAATCGACTCAGGGCATTGTCCCCTAGGCGCTGTCGATTTAGTGATCACAACTTATAAGCGAACGTTAGGGTGGAGTCCCATGAAGCGTATTTGCCGCGTATTGCGTAACCGCGTAACCAATCAATAATCAGTAAAACACGAAATCACAACAGCGGATCGCTTCTGATTGGTTACGCGGTTACGTGATACGCGGTAAATACACCTCATGGGACTCCAGCCTTATCCGCCGCAACAGCAGTGCGTAGAACACAAAGCGAACGTTATTCGTCGTAACTCATAGTGCGTCGTATCAATGCGAACAAATTAACCAGCATGCGTGGTTAGGACATTGTGAACGATATTTGTTAACATTTAATAAACTATTAAAAACTGACTAAACGAAAAGACAGTGCAAGAGTATTTTTTATTACATTGTGCTGAATCCTATGGAACAATATATATATAATATACATATATATATTATAAAAAATATATTTTAACTTCTATTATAAATAAGTGGAAATCGTTGCTTATAAAATGTAGTTGTGGTATAATTATTACACATTAATTCATGACATTTTCTAACCTTACAAATTTGATGCTCAATAGTTACGAGTTTTAGCTAATTGTGACGGTTTTTAT